TCCATACACGAAACAGAAATCGAGCCCGGAAAGTACTGCAACCTTTTGGTGATGAAAGGCGCTCCGGAACGCATTTTGGCTCGGTGCTCGAAAATCCTTATCAATGGCGACGACTTGGAACTTGACGACACCTGGCGAAAAGCGTTCCAAGATGCGTACTTGGAACTTGGAAGTCTTGGCGAAAGAGTTCTAGGTTTGGATGCGTCATTTTTGCCTAAAGAAAATTGTTCATGCCTCTTAGTGCCAATGAATGAACTTTTCTACTTAACTTTTGTTAATTAACTTGTCCTCCAAAACCTCTTCTCAGTTTACCTTTGATATCGTTGACGACAGCTAGCGATTGAATTGGTAATGTCATGTCTTGACGGTGTAGCCTGGTATAAAGTCTAGATTTATCATGTAAGGATGAAATTCAACAGTCATGGTGTAACAGGTTTTGATAATTGGTTTTCATTATTGTGTTCAAGAATTACTAATAATTGTATAAATGTTATTCAAAGAGGCCTGCGCATGGATTCGTTAAGTTTGATTGATAGTTATATCTGTTTCCTAATCCATCATTTTCGGTGAGCAATTTTTTACTGAAATTTTTCTAGTAGCTTCGGTCTTCCGCCAATCGCTGGATTCCAAGGTAAAAGTGGCTAATTGAGTAACTGATTGGTGATTTGCCATGAGTTTGTTTGTTGTTGTTTGTTGCATAAGCAGAGCGTCTCTTGTTTCTGATATGCACTGTATTCACAGCTTTTAAACACGTTTGTTGTACAGCAGCAGCTAGTGTATTTTAAAAAGAAATATTCCTCTTCGAAAGCAAATCTGCTTTTACTTTGTTACTTCTGGTCGACGATCAGCCCCAACACGAGAACTTTATGGGCTGGAGTAAATGGTTTTGCTCGACTAGTTTATCTTGTTGGGCCGTCTTCCTTTTCTCATTCTCTGAATCTACTAAGGTTACCTGTATCCAGAAGATAATGCAGTCGTTGCGTGGGGGGTGCCCTGCCGTTTAACCCTTATTAT